CTCCCACCTGCGGGCCAGCTGGGCCGCGGTGTCCGCAGACGCGCCATTGACCAGGAGGGAGACCCCGGTCAGCGCCCCTGCCAGGAAGGCCTCCACCAGGCCCCGATCGCGCAGCGGGCAGTAGCCGAAGTCATCTCCGGTGACGATGAGCCGCACGCGGGGCTCGTTCATGGCGGGCTGCCGGGAGGGAGTGGGCTGGCCAGGGCCGACCGGACGGCCAGGGTGCGGGGGGCCAATGAAGGTCTGTCTCAGGCTGGGGCCGGAAACGGTCTCCTGGGCTCGGGGGAAGAAAGAGGCCAAGTTGAGGCGGAGCCAGGAGGATGCGGGGCGGGGCCGGGCGGGGTGGAGCAGGGCCAAGGTGGGAGTGGGAGGAGGCCCCCCCCCCGACCTCCCAGGACCCCCGGGGACGAGGATCATAGATAACGGGGTCATAAAATGCTGGCACTAGAAGGGGGCAGGACGAAATCTTTCAGTCTCAGGCCCTTCGTTTTGCCGAGGAGGAAACCGAGCCCGGGAGAGGGGAGGAAGTGTGGCACCGACTTGGGTCTTCTGTGTTTACGGGGGCCAGAGCCCCGGCTGTGGTCCTTGGCGGCTCTCGCCTCTCGCGTCCACGAGTGTCAGCACCAGCGCTCTAGCCGGGGTCTTGACCTTGGCATTCTCACATTCGTCCCGAGTGCACCAGATGCAGTTAGGTTCGGCGGGGGAACCAGCATTCCTAAACCCCCGGGGCTCCTGGCAGTGCCAAGATCAAATGCAAAATCCCGTCTGAGATTCAAAGCCCTTTAGGGAACTGAGCTCCCCCCTCCCCACCCCGCACCTAGTCCCTCGTCTTACACCTTTCCTCACCCCCACCCCGACACGTGCTCTTGGACCCAGTGATAGCGGCCTCTCGGAAGTTCCTCGAACAAGACACTGCCTCCCCAGCCTTGGCATCTTCCCCGGGCGGACCCCCGTACCTGAAATGCTCACCTCTCATCTTGGCCTCCTGGCTTCTAACAAATCCCAACTAAAATCCCATCTTCCTTCCAATTGCCCCAAGCTCTGGGGCCTTCCGTCGGTTAGTTATTTCCTCTTAATCATGTATGCAAATATGTACAGATTTCTTTCCCCCATTACGAATGAGGTCTACCTTTTACCTCTCTTTGTATGCCTAGCCCTTAGCATAGTGCCTGGCACATATCCAGAAATAAATGCTTATTGGCTGACCGGCTAAGCAGTGCACTGTACCAGGCAGGCTAATCGGTCATTTCATTCCATCGTCACCACAGGTCTGGGAGGTAGGTATTGCTGTCTGTATTACAGAGATACCAGGTTTTGGGTCAGAATAATAATTCTTATATAATTATATGCTATATAACAATAATTGAGCATACAAAAGCCGACTGAAAATTTCCAGGTTATGTGGCAAGAAGAGGTTATCCTTAACAGACCGTCATCAATCAATACTGAAGGCTGAAGTCAATCCCTCCCTAGCTGAAGTTCCAACTGAAGAAGAGGTTTGGCCATTAGGCTCCTTTCGTGTGGCAAAGCCCCTGGCACTGACTCTATTCCAGCTGAGATTTACAAGGTGGCGGTGGTAGTGGGGGAGTCTACTGCTCATACATAAGATGACTGAAATTTTGTGGGTTATGGCAAGAGGAGGTTATTCCCGAGCAGTTCAAGGACGCCTCCGTTGTCCATCTCTATAAAGGTAAAGGAAATAGATGTATGATGCACAGGGTGGGTTTCTCTCTTAGTCATTGCTGGCAAGATTCTTGCCAGAGCCCTCCTTAATAGGCTGATCCTTCGCCTGGAAGGTGGCCATCTACCTGAGGGCCAGGGTGGCTTCAGAAAGGGCCGAGGAACAGTCAATATAGTGTTTGCTGCCCGACAACTCCAGGAGAAATGCCAGGAGCGGAACAGAGGTCCGTACACAATGTCTGTAGATCTGACCAAGGTCTCTGATACTGTCAGTCATGGGGCTTGTGGAAAATTATGTCAAAATGTGGTTGTGAGAAGTTCATCAGCATTGTACGTCAATTCCACGATGGCCATGCTTGCCCGGGTTCTGGATAATGGACAATGCTCTTGTGCTTTCCCAGTCACCATTAGAATGAAACAATGCTTGCTCCCACGTTTTTGGCCGTGTTGTCAAATGCTTTCAATGATGATGAACATGACATCAAGGTCAGCTACCGCACTGATGGTGAATTCTTCAGCTTCAAAAGGCTACAAGCCGAGACCAAAGTGGAGGGAGTGTTGGTGCATGGTTTTCTGTTTGCAGATGATTGTGCACTCAATGCAGCCTCTGAAGCTGAAATGCAACAAAGTATGGATTCTCTGCTGCTTGTGCTAATTTTGGCCTAACAATTAACACCAAGAAAACACAGGTGCCCCATCAGCCAGCACCACACCATCCATGCATGGAAGCATCAGTTACAGCAAATGGAGAAGTTTGGAATGCTGTGGACGAGTTCACTTACCTTGGCAGTGTACTTTCTAGGGATGTACACATTGATAATGAGGTTGATGCCCGCATTGCCAGAGCTGGCTCAGTGTTTGGGAGGCTCCGAAGGAAAGTGTGGGAGAGAAGAGGTATTAGAGTGAACACCAAAGTGAGGGTCTACAGAGCTGTTGTGCTGACCTCACTGTTGTATGCCTGTGAAACCTGGACAGTCTACCAGAGCCATGCCAGGAAACTGAATCACTTCCATTTGAATTGTCTTAGGAGGATTCTGAAGATCACCTGGCAGGATCAGATACCAGACACCGAGGTCCTTTCTCAAACTAAACTGACAAGCATTCAAACTCTGCTTCAGAGAGCACAACTCCGATGGGCTGGCCACATTGTTCGAATGCCAGACATGGGCTTGCCAAAAAGACTATTTAATGGAGAACTCACATGGGGCAAGTGCTCACATGGTGGTCAGAAGAAGCGATACAAGGACACTCTCAAAGTCCCTCTTAAGAACTCTGGAATTAGGGGCGCAGTGAATAGAGCTCTGGCGTTGGAGTCAGGATGACCTGAATTCAAATCCAGCCTCAGACACTTAACACTTACTAGCTGTGTGACCCTGGGCAAGTCACTTAACCCTGATTGCCTCACCAAAAAGCAAAAAAAAAAAAAAAAAAAGAACTCTGGAATCGATTGTGAGACATAGGAGACACTGGCATAGAACTGTCCAGCATGGCATGCCCACATCAGAGAAGGTGCTGTGCTCTGTGAGCAAAACAGAGTTGGAGCTCAAAAGAAATTCGAGCTGCACAAATTTAGAGAATCCACCCCAAACGTTCACATGGACTATTTGTGCCTGACTGTGATAGAACATTCCGAGCTCGTATCGGTCTCATCAACCACATCGGATGCACAACCTTGCATTTTACAGATCGGGAAATGGAGGCAAAGGTGAACTAGAAATGTCTGAGCTAGGTTCTACCCTAGGTTTTCTAGCAGCCGGGTGGGGCAGTGGATAGAATGCTGGACTCACAAATAGGAAAACCTGAGTTCAAATCCTGCCTCAGGATTTACTTATTGGCTGCGTGGCCTTGGGCATCTCAGGTCACCTCTAGTAACCTCAGTTTCCTCATCTGTAAAATGGGGATAATAATAGCATCTACTTCCCAGGTTTGTTGTGAGGAGCAGGGGATATAATATGCACAAAGCACTTTGCAGACTTCAATAAAGTGCTATCTGAACGCTATCATTTTACGTTATAATTATTATTGGGTGGTGATTGTCCTTCATTCTTGAACAGGACCAAAATGACATCATTTACCAGAGTCACAGGAACATAGTCTGTCCACCTGTTACACAAAGTGAAAAAGAGGAAGGGAGGGTACCAGGAGTTGGGGGTGCTTGAAAGCTTTTGTGGAAAAAGGAGGCATCTTAAAGGAAGAGAAGGATTCTATGAAGAGAGGAAGGGCATTCCAGGAAGGAGGGGACAGCCAGGGCAAAGGCATGGTCATGGAAGATGAAGGAAGAGGGAGATGAGTTTGGCTGGACTGAAGAGTGGGGAAGAAGGGGTAGGGCACACAAAGGCAGGAAAGATAGCTTGGGGCAAAAGGAGGAGGTAGCAAGGTGTGGTGAATTTGGAGTCATAAAGATCTGGGTTCAAATCCTGTCTTTGGCACTTACTAGTTGTGTGACTATGAACAAGTCACCATCTCTGGGCCTCAGGCTTCTTATCAGTCAAAGGAGGAGGTTGGACCAGGTGCCTTCCCTATAAGGTCCTTCCCAGCCTTCGATTTATGATCCTATGAGTTTATTTTTATCCTTGGTTGGGGGCAGGGAAGACAATGAGTTCCGTTTTAGACGTGCTGAGTTTGAGATGTCTCTGGGACATTTGGTTTGAAATATCCAATAGACCATTGGTGATGGAGGGTTAAAGGACAGGGGACAGTCAACTGGATTCTGGCACAGGATATGCCTGGGAGTCATTGAGTCATACCCAGGTTATAGTTAAGCCCATGGAACCTGATGAAGTCACTGAGAGTGGAGAGAGAGAAGAGATCTGAGGACCGAGCCTTGGGGACACTCATAGCCAGGGAGATGATATGGGTAATGAGCCAGCAAAGAGCAGGAGCCAATTAGAAGGGGAGGAGAATCCCCAGAATAGTAGAGAGGAGAGAATCTCAGAGAGGAGGGAGCATCCAGGAGGGGAAGGCGGTCAACGGCATCCAGCGGAGACAGGTCAGGGTGGATGAGGACTGAGAAGACGCCATCAGACTTGGCAATAAAGAGACCATTGGAGCATGGAAAGAGTAGTTTCAGTCACGTGATGACAGTGGAAATCTGATTGCAAAGGGTTGAGAAATAAGCAAGAGGAGAGGAAGGATAGGCAGCTTTTTCTAGGAGTTTGGTTGACAAAGCAAAGAGAAATATAGGACAATAGCTACAGGGTAGAGGACAATGAGGAGAAGAGAATGGTAGAAGGGAGGTCGGGGGTGGTTTTCTCCTAAATGGCTGGTGATAGATAGGTACAGGGGTAGGGAGAGAAGCAGGAAAGTTCATAGGGGAAGCAGTGAGGGGAAGATGAGAAGAATCATCAGGGGTCGTTGCAAAGGGAGTTGGGCAAGGCCTGGGGCTGCTTCTTGACCTGGGCCACTGGTAGAGAGGTGTGGGGGAGCATCTTTTCCTAGCCAGCCAGCAGATGGCTTTGGCAGTGGCCAGACCTGAGTCTGCTGGGTAGAAATGCGTCTGCTCCTTCTCTAGAATGGCTGGCACATTTATTGTCTCCCTCGTTAGAATGTAAAGTCCTTAAGAGCTGGCAGTAATCTTGCTTAGCCTTCTGTACCTGTTGTGTATAGGCTTGAGGTAGTACTGAAAGGGGAAAAGCCCCCCCTTCCTCTGGCTCCCACCCTTGGAATGGGGGCATTGCCAGCCAAGTCCAGCCATATAGTTTCTCTTTCAATCAGGCCGTTCCTACCGCCTAGTTGCC